TTGGGTTTCATTTTTTAGGAAAAGAAATATGTTAAAGTAGCTGAATTTTTAAACAGTTATAAGACGGACACATTTCATGGATAAGTCTTCACCAGGCATCACACGTAGAGCTCTAGCCTCAACGGTAACAAAATCCGGATTTGCAACAACCATGGGGATCTTTTTCGCAGCACATTGCCCCAAAATTTCGTTAAGTTCGTCAAGTGTCTTTGGGAGTGCATGTCCAGATGAAAGTCCCAAAGCTTCAGTTCCATGAGCCAAAACAAAATCAGCTTCTTCGACATTATCCACAACCTGGAGCCCTAAGCCCTGAAGCAAGACATTTACGCTCCAAAATATATTACGGATATTTCGGAAGGTTTTGAGAAAACTAGAGTTGCTAGAAATGGAAAATCAAAGCATCGAGCAGCCCTTATTACATTGCAGCTTTTGATTGTTAGATAACTAAGTTGTTTTCTTTGTCTTTAGATGTAACAACTCGACAATTCACAATCTAAATTTTATTCATAGATACAGAAAATTCCGCACATCCAGTTCAATAAATTCGAGAATGTAACATATCAATTTCTTCATCGTCATATTTAATATAACACATGAGCAGATAATTTTTTTCTAAAACGGCAAAGGTTAAGGCTGCTTTAGCATACCTCAAGAGATATAGCACCTCGATCATTCCAGGTCATGTGAATGCAAGAGCTCCCAATACCAGCAAACCATGGATCATCTCTCCTGTCCAAAACATATTCCATGAAAGTGATTGTATTAGAAGAAGAATCAAATTGTTTTTCCAACAAATGAAGACATGTAAGCTTACTTTCATTCTCCAATTGATAACTGTTTCCATTAGCAGAATATTGCACTTTATATAGCAGGATATTGCACTTTATAAGACAACACGTCGAACTTTATAAAACAATATGTTGTACTTTATAACCACTCTCCACAATTAATGTCAGCAACTCTCGTCAAAATATATTATGCAATGTAAATATAAAAAAATAAATAAAAATGAAGTGACATAATACTTTACTATCTATCACATTATATATACAAAATAATAATGTGAATGTGTATCCATTAAATGCTAGATATATCGAGGCATTGTGAATGTGTATCCATGGTTGAAAAGCTACTAAATAAGAGGAATTAAAAATAAAAAATGTAACTGGCTAACAACACCTAGTTTACTTAAACTTTATTGACACAACAATTCAGTAAAAAAGACATACCAAATTAAAGCTTAACATATCTCTCACAAGTCACAACCCACATTTGAAGAAATCACACAATCAACCAGAACAAATAACTATCACTGCTATTAAATTTTGAATGTTTGAAAATGGTATTCTGATAAATCTAGTGCTCAATCTTTCTACAGCGGCCATAGTTCTCAGCATGGAAGTTAAGACCTTTAAACTTAAGAACACAGAGAGACAAATACAGAAATCATATAAAATAAATAATGCCAGGTGGATACAGACTTCTAAACTTATCAAGGAATCAATTAGGACACTTACAAGTGCAAAGGTTATTACGCAACACACAATGATAATACAAGTTAGCTTTGACTAGCAGTCATTACAAAGTACAAAATTTATTTGGGAAACATCAGCAATGTTGTCATAAAGAAAAACACTCAAGAAAACGTACAACAATAGTAAATTATGTGCTCGCTCATGTTAGTTCAGAAGAAATCAACAATTTCAACAAAATGCACTATGAGAATTAGTATTTGTCTTTATACAACTATTTCCAATTAAATACAAGATTCTCTACATTTGGCTCTTTAAGAATACAAGCAAACTAAATAATCAGAAATTGAGAATAAACTAACCTCAGTAGGTACTGGTGTGTTAACTCCCCACTGGTTATAGCTCCCAGAAAGAGAGAGGGATTAAAGCCAAGGCTACTCAACTTTTCAATGGTTGTTGATGCACGCCTTGAGGAGTTACTTATGACTACCATCTTTGCACCAGAATTCGCCAATTTCTCCACTGTATTCCATGCATAAAACATAAGCATCCACAAAATCTTAGTCAAAGTTCACATCGAAATACCTGCGCGTATGTTTGACCAAAACAAATGATCAGATCACCAAAATGCGAAAGGTAACAGTTGAAAACATACATGTGGCAATGGCACCCGGGTATGGCTGTTTCCCATCGTGTAAGACCCCAAACTGATCCAAGAGCCATGCCTGCATTCACAAATGATGGTCTAATAACTGAAAACAGGAAAACTGCAGGATGTAACCAAAATTAGAGATAACTGGACTTTAGGATTGAAACCCACAGACTGTTTTTGTCCCAAATTTTGCATTTTAGCTCAATATTGGAAATTGATCACATAATTTGTAACAATTGTTGCATTTTTAGGCCCAAAAGTGTGAGAACCAAAAGCCTCCCTGTGGGACCAAAAAGAGCAAAAAATAATATTCTGGCGGGAGAAAAATTGCGCAAAAATCCTTCTAATGGACCAAAATGCAAAGAAAACCTCAATGTTGTCGAACCAAAAGTGCTGGGTCCTCAATCTTGTTCGTTTCGAACTGCACACTTTTTTCTTGTACTTGTAACAATACAACTTGACAATCAATAAACGTAGGCAATAAATAAAGAAGAAAACAAGGATTCATTCTAGGATTCAACCATCACATATTCACATGCCAATTGTTTGCCGAAATTAGTCTAATTTCTAAAAGCAAGAAGCAAACCCCAACTGAGATGCACAACCAAAAAAA